AGTTTGACAGTCCAACCGCCCACCCTCTCTGCCATTATGTACATCACTGAAGATCAGACTGTTCCCACCCCTCTGTAATTGTGGTGCTGAAATATAAACTCTTCGTTTTGATTTATTTTTTTGCCTTGTTTCTGATTTAGAACAGCAAGTTAACTCCTCACCTTCCCCCCCCGGCACTTACTCGAAAGCAGGCAGAGAGCAACTCTGTGGACACCGACCAAAACAAAAAAAATGACCCCACGCTTCCAGGGCTGAGCTAGGATGCAGATGGCCCGGGGTCAAGGTTTTTTTTACGTCAAACTTTTGCCTTGGCGCACTCTCTGCAAACTAAGGATAGCATCTTATCTAACAGCCTGTCAAACGTACCGGGTGGCGAGACTTCCAGGACAGAGGCTCGCTCTCACTACGTGTAGCTGTAGTACCCAGCAAAAATTTGTCTCCAGCTATCGCTGGGAAGGTAGAACGCTACAGATATATGATTTTAAAAGGGAGATCACTAACAGAGATAAATAACCTGCAAATAAAGACAAGAAAACCTGATTGTGTGCATTCTGTAGTTTCTTACGCAGGGTAAGAGCCAATTAATTTCAAAGACCTTTCCGCCAATATAATTGCCTTGCTACAGGATGTCATTTGGAAAAAAAAGTCAGGATTTTAGAGAAATTAAAGGCAATCGAGGGGTGAAGAGGGAAGAAACAATGAAATCAGCTGAGTTTGAACTGTAGGAAACGCAGACCTCAGCTTGTTTATCCCACTGGATGATAAAACTGAGATGCAAAAGGGAGGATTTGTTTCCAGCTGAATTAATCACCTTGCACTGTTCTAGGGAAGCTTAAGAGTGAAAAGAGCTTGTCCGTAGGTTCTAAGTTATTACTACAAAAGATCCTAAACGTGCAGGTTTAGCATGAGCGTGGGGCAATAGCACTCAGTAGGATATAAAGGTACCCGAGGAATTCCAAACGTGGCACCGCTCCACATTACCTGGGAGATCAAACAGAAGCTTCCCATCAGCCTGCATGTCTGCTTGCTACCCTAAACTACAACGCCATTAAAACAAAAGAAGTACAAAACCATACTTAAAAGTGACATTTAAACCTCCCTGGTTCTCTTCTCCCTTCAGATTCTTCCTCACTTGAGGATTTGGGGAGAGAGTGTTAGGTTTGGGGGTTTCGCTTACAAATCTCACATCACAGATGGCAAAAGCTGTGTTGGTTCCCAGCTGTAAAAGGGCATTACACCGCGGGTTTTCTGCCCCCAGTCCTCGGGCAATCTGTTGTTTGTCTGCCCTGACACCCCTCTGAAATGCAAGAAAGTTCCCTGAACTCCCCGCTCCCCTGCAGACCCAACTCATGGTTTTGAGCAGGGTGTCCTCTAGCGGCCACCCAACCCTTTCTTACAAAAACCAGGTTGTAAAGGGCTAAGTTATCGGCTTCAGCCTTTATAGAACAAGTGGCAGTGGAAAGCAGATTGCTCCAGCTCAATGACAGCTTCCAAAAGCCCAGTTTGAGAAGTTCAGCTGCACTAGAAGCGCCTCATTCACATGCATTGGGAAAGACAACGCAGGTTATGTCAAAGTCCTCAAGTCGTGTTCCTGCAGCCCGACTGCTCCCCGTATCATCTCCTTCCAAAACACACTGAACTCTGTTAGGACAGGCTGGCACAGCTACTTAGGAGCTGCTCCGTAAAGAAGTATTTCCAGGAAAATAAACAAAACCGGTCTCTTCAAATCATGCTTCAGTATCTAGGAGAAGCCATCAACACCTTCCCCGCCACATCTGGCCACTTCACAAATACAAGGCTTTTGCTCTTGGTCCACAAAGGCTGAGCTCTGATTCAATCATCTGAAAAAAAAAAAAAAAAAAAAAAAAAACACAAAACACCAAAACCTTGCAGGTTTATTGATATTGCTAACAGGAGAACCAGGCTAGGCATCGGTCATGTCTCTATACGTACCTCCTTTGGAATCTTATTTCAGGGCCTGGCTGTGCAGTGGGTGGCAGCTCCCTGAAGGATTGATGGGTGTTTGCCTACTGCTCTGTAGGAATGGGATCTTTAGCCAAGTCAGCAGATTGAAGTGGCCGTACCACAGAGAACACCAACTTCAAAAGGCAAGTTCTGCAAGCTATACATTACTTAGAAGCAGATCTTCACTTGAAACATACCTCGTCTACCTTGTTTATCCCCCCTCATGACAAATAGGATGTTTGTGAGATGTTATGAAACATTAGCCATCACAGATCCCTTCATCTTGCATTAATTTATCTCATTTTCCACCAACATGACAAATTGTTTAAAAAGGCGCACGCAGCTCTGAACAAGAACCAAAAGTTAACTCCTAAGCAAGAGGAAGGGAAGTTAACCCTTGTGTCTCTGGTTTAAGCACTTCCAGCCTCTGCTACGCAGACCTTTCTACACCAGTAGAGTGCAAGGAAGTTTGGGTTTGTTTTTCAGGTGTGGGTTTTCCCCCCACCACCACCCTTTTTTGTTTTATTTTTAACTGTCACTTCTGCCCCAGCAGCAAAATGTCATTGGAGAATGTCCCCTGAAGAGCTCATCGCTGCTTCCCAGGGAACTGTGGTGTTGTACATTTTACTACGAAGGGAACAGAAACCTTATCTGACAGATTTCATTTACTCGATACCATTTGTATGACGCATCCGTAGCTTTTCAAAGCAGAAAAGGATTTCTTTTTTTCCAGCAAGCATCACGTGAAGGAAAACATTAACACTGAACCAGTCTCACGTTATAGTTGGTAAAAGGACATCTATTATACACGCAAATGACGGGAAGAAACACAGACTACAGGCAATTATCCTGTGGAAGAAAGGTTAACACATACATTTAATTAGCCACAGCTGTATTTGCTATTCTGATCAGTCTCCTATTACAGCTGAAGCCAAAATATTGTTCTCAATACCAGTGAAATGGAAGCCTTGAACATCAGCTCTTGAAAACCTGCGGTAATTAAGCACTGAAACAGAGCACGGGTGACAAGAGGGGAGCTGCAGTTCAGAACGCATTAAACAAGCTCCTGATGCGTTTGGTTTAGGCAATTCCTTGAAGTACAGAAGTGGGCTAAACCCCTTGATACCACAGGTCTACGAGCCAGGTAAGCAAATTCACTCTTTAACCATTCTGATCTATTAAATCTAGGTCAGTGCCGTGCATGCTAATTCCAAAAGACATCTTGCACAAGTCCATTACATAAAGGTTTAGAAATCATCAGCTGGGCAGGTTTCTTTTGAGAGCTTATATTCCGAGGAGTTCATCCAAAACTCTGCACCTGCACCATGTTATTAAGTGCTTTTTCTAGTGCCTTAACCTTCAATTACGGAAATAAGTACCCATCTACAAAGTATTCCAATCACAACATGATGCAAAGCCACATTAAGAAGGCTAAAAAGTCTTTACTGAATTTATTGATACAGAAATACTTATTAATAGTTTAAATTGCATAACACTTTTGCATGCCTCGGGCCAATTTAACTCTAGTTTCTGCACATAGATTTTTCAACTTACACGCTAATGATAAAGCTTGAAAGTTCACTTCTTTTTGCAAATTTACTGCAGGATCGAAACCTAAAAGGAGTCACATAGAATTAAAGTGAACATTACTTAGAACACAGAAGGAAACAGTCAAAGCAGGTAAAATCCCTAGACAGCTTACAGACTATACAAAAACCAGTTCTGCTACAATTTCTCTATTAGAAATGCGTACAAAACTACAGTGCAAGTGCTTGTGCACAGGGAAAATGTATTTACAGCTCCCCTTCATTTACAGGCTATAAGCAACACTTTCACAATTATATTACACGTAAAATTTCCACTGTGGGTTTGTTTGGATCTGGGGTTTTTTGGACAAGGGGACAATTTGACAACCTCAAACATAAGCTTCCTGTATATATATTTATTTATTCAACCTTATCCAGGAAAAATAGCAGTATTTTATGCATCTTATAGAAAGCTACAAAAAATCTAGCAAATGTAATAAAAAAGGCAAATTGGTGAAAAATCTGACAAAATATCTTTTACAACTGGGGGTGGGATGGGGGTAAAAACCAGACAGGGATAAATGAAAGATAATTCTCCCTCCACTGGTCAGCTCTAACAGAATCTCAGCAAGATTTACTAATACAAACCTGAAGTTTAATGTCACTTTCAAAGCAGCTTCTTTAAAAGAAGTTTTGTAATTAATAAACTGAAGCATGACCTGGTAGCCAAAGTAAGAGGCACCCTGTACTATGTAGGGGTACGGAAACTGTGCCACGATACAGAAAGGCACATAGCTGGTACGACAGCTACTAAGCAGAAATGGCTCACAAATACAGAGGTGACAGCCTTTGGGGAAGCACAGGGAAACATTACACACAGATTCTATTAAGCCTCTATTTACCACAATATTCAGGATTTTCATTTGTAGAAAGAAATTCATTGTAGTTGCCAGAATTACAAGATGGCTACTTGCATGTTTACAGAAAACCATCAGCTCAGTGGCCACAGAACTGCCCTGTTTAAAATAAACAAAAATCTGAGGGAGCAAGGTAGCTTGGGGTACAGTTTAGACCAGAAGTGGAGAATTAGGAAACCAGAGGCAAAACACAGCCTACGACTGTGTTATGCGCCAGTGGCCACATGACACTGTGTCATCAGGTAAGATTCTCAAAGATATACACAAAGCCTATTAAGCACGGAAGAATTCTCCACCTCAGGCTTAGATGTACACGAGTTATCCATTTATTTTCAAAGCCACACAGAACTTTGAAACGCCATTTATCATTACACAAGTTGTGCCACTCAGTACCATTAAACATAGAATCCCAGAGTGGTTTGGGTGGGAAAGGACATTAAAGATCATAGAGTTCCAACACCCCTTCCATGGGCAGGGACGCCTTCCACCAGACCAGGCTGCTCAGAGCCCTGTCCAACCTGGCCTTGAACACTTCCAGGCCTGGAGCATCCACAACTTCTCTAGGCAACCTGTCCCAGTGCCTCGCTGTGAAGAATTTCTTCCTTGTATCTAAACTAGATCTACCCTCTTTCAGTTTCAAGGCATTACCCCCTTGTCCTATCACTACATGTACCTGTAAAATGTCCCTCCCCAGCTTTCTTGTAGGTCCCCTGCAGGTACCAGAAGGCTGCTCTAAGGTCTCCCTGGAGCCTCCTCTTCCCCAAAAACCCAGTGTATTTTTGGCAAGACAGTCTTCATTCATTCCCCCTCAGAAAATGAGGGGACAGAATAAAAAAAAAGCAAAAAAGTGGCAACAACTTAAGTGCTTCTTATGGGGCAATGCCTTAACATAGCTTCATTACCTACTGAGAGGGGTTTTTTCACACCACCCCCAGCTTCAGAAGTATTTCACATCAGTACAAGCTCCAGGGTTTCTTTCCAGCCTTTACAAGTTCAGGTAGATTTTTTCAAAAAGGCTGAACCAAGTAAACTTCCCCTTCTAAACATGGTTCCTCCTTCCATCACCACTACAGGAAGACTTGGGAATAAAAATTAAGAGTTCACATCCACAGAACTGCAGAGTGTAAAGTCCTTCTACACGAGCCTGTTAAAACATCTACTTAATTGCTGCAGGAATAAAATAGCCTATCAAGTCAATTAACTTCATTCACCTACCATACGTGGACTGTGTGTACACCAGTTGTATTCTAGCCACCTTGCTACAGCAGGGGCACACACACAGGAACACCCAAGAACTGTATCAGTTTGGCTTTCCAGAGTGTTTTCAGGTTCTACATAACCTCCACAAAACTACCTTTGGCTGAATTACCGGGACACAAGCCGCTCCACTCAGGCTCATGCTCTGCACTTCACTCTGTTCAGCCCAGCAGTTTTAAGTTCTCTCACACAACAGCAAAATCCACAGATTCTGCTTTCACAGTTTTTACTAACTCACTGCTACAGGTCTCATCTCTACTGTTCCCCATTCAGAATTACTCTGTAAACGTCTCCAGAGACACCAGTCACAACCCTGACTACCCTAGCATCCTGTGAAAGCTAATCAGCTCTGCAACTCTTCACTCACCTCTGCCACTAAAAAAAAAAAAGAAAAAATTTTGCCTCTGTATTAGACTAATTCACTGGAACAGGTGTTTCCCTTTAGGAAAACCAGTATTCTGTAAAACATTTTTACCTTTTACTGAAAAGTTATATCTAGTTTATAAGCAAAACTGAGACCAACCAAAGGGGAACTGATGCTTTCCTTCTCATTCAAAGCCTGGATGCCACAAGGCCAAATGCCAAAAATTCTTTCCTTTCGTGTCTGTAAAAGTTGTGCTTTTTCAGATTACTGGAAGAAACAAGATTTGCCAGGTCAGTTTTCAGTAATAATCTTCATCCTCCATTAAACACACCCCATGGTAAACACATGGCAGGTTTAGTGGGAGAGAGCACAGGCAGCAAAGGTCTGTGGGGAGCTGCCTAAGAGTATTTAAAAACTGCAATTCAGTAGAGCAGCCACGAGATTTTTAGGATATCTCTGTGCAGTTAGTTTCAGGGAATTAAATCCTCCTTTCCATAAGCAGCTGAGCATTTCACCAACTTGCTTCCTAAGGAATCCCTGCTGTAGGATAAAACTATAGCACACAACTGAAGAAAAAAACAAACTTTAAAAAGCTATGTTTCAGTATACAGCAGCCACATTCCCCAGCTAGCCTACTGCCTTGGGTGGTCAGATGAGCAGGCAAGCAAGTGGTATACATTTGTCAAGCCCTAAGTGGTACTCTATTTTCTGCCTACTTCCCACTTTCTAGAAGGAAATTACTTTTCCCTGTAATAAAGCAGGTAATATTTCAAGGGATCAGGCAAAGGCAGACTCAAGACCTTTTCTCTCAAAAAGTTTACAGGGGGATCTGGCTTTAGTTCAGAGGGTTTAGTTTCTTCCTCTTCCCGTTTCTCATCCTCGAGATCCTCACTGTTGTTGTTATCATCCGATGGGTTGGAGATACGACTAGCAAAGACCTCTTTGTCCAAGAAAACAATAGTTTCCATGCGGCGGCGACGCACACGTCTTCGTTTAAATTTTGGGGGGTTCTTCAGCCCGTTTCCATTTTTGCTCATTGTTTCTTGATGTATAATTTTCTTAATGGTTCCTCGGATGGCTATGCGAGCCAGATCCTGGAGGCTGCGAACAGCCACTGGGGCTAAAACAAAATGAAAACCATGAACAGATATGGAGAAACTCCCCTCAAGAGCACTCATAGGAAAAGTTCTGTTTGCTCAAATTAAATCAGGCCACTTGAACTCCCTGCTGTGATTACAAAAACAGCTCTATTCAACTCCTGTCAACTCAGATAAACTGTACCGCAACTTTCCAAACAAAATTTAATTATGCATTTCTCTCATTAGCTGAAGAATGGGATGAAAGAAGAGTTTCTTATTTTGATGTCAAGTCCTCACAATTATTTTAAGATACACGTCTTAAAGATTATAAGAATGCAGACTTAGTGACTGAAACTGTGACTGTTTAATAACTTAGAAAAAAGATATTTTGCTATTGTAAATAACTAGACCTGAGGTCTACTTAACTCTTCCATAAAATCATGTTTCTATTGTAAAGTTACTTCAGCTTTGCCAAGTTCTTCACTTATAAAACACGAGTACTATTTATGCTCTTCAAAAACTGCTTCAGACTTTGTGGGTGAAGACTGGCCAGAAACCATTTGGTAAAAGTAATTATAGAAGCATACAATAAGTTATTGTATTAAAATACCTCCCACATTAATGGTTTGGAAGAGTGTTCTGTCTTCTGCACTTATTTGCTGCCGGCCCGTAAGTGCACAGTTCATGCAGTATAAACTAAAAATGTATTGATGCACACACATCTGTGTACTAAAATGAATTAAAACTGAAGTAAACAAAAAACCCCTGTCTTCTACAGACACATAAGCACTCCTGTGACCTGAATGAACCAGAAAAACAAAAGTAGTCACATGTAATATATACGCAGGCCTCACTACAAAGTCAAATTGTGCTGAAATATGCACTTAGCAGACTTTATAGCACTGTATGGACTGCTTACTGAGCTGCTTTTTGTCATGCAAAGACACCTTTCCAGAATAAGAACAAAGCCTGACTAATCTCTTTATGGAAGTATCTCTGCCTTCATGTGTTCTTAAGAAGCCTCTCTACACTGAAGTCTTAATCTAAAGATTGAGGCCACTGCGTACAAGCTGCATTTCAAACAGCTAACCAAAAATTAGACAACTTCTATCCCTCAAGCATTCCAGGTCCAGGGTAATCCTGAATTGCTGGGCAGTGAGAGCCTTTGAGTAGATATAATGTTTGTTCACAGGTACTGCTTGTGTTCATCACCATGGCGCAGTGCCCAAGAACCATGACAGTACATAATTCAGGACTGGAACAGATGTCTGCACGTGCAAAAACAATGACCAAACATCCCACAAAGTTTAGGTACAATTTTACAAGAAATCATTTGTATTTAGAAACTATTTTACACAATTCTGATTTTTGCACCAGGCCTCCACAGATACCCTCAAAGATAGACTAGGATCCAACACAAGGCTTTGACAACTGTTCAATGAAGGAAGCAGTTGGAGTAATTTTCCTTGGAAGGATTCATAGGGACATTACATCTAAGGAAGCAAGGTGCAGCTTACAGCCAAATAGCAGAAGAAGCCTCCCCCGTACTCAAGAATGTCTGTACTTACGCAAGTGAACGAGCCTTGATTTTCCTGAATCTGCGTGGTTAGGCTGAATCAAAGGAGCAAAAGAAACAGCAAGAATCTTCTTGGTCTCCCAGGCAGAAGGACCAGTACGAGTTATCTTAGTCAACTAAACCAAAACAAGGAGATTATTGTCTATTGTGTGAACTACAGTAAGATTTTTGAACAAAAAAAAATGAATAAACAACTTTTCTGCCTAGACAAGTGGTTAAAGTGCTAGAAGCTACAACAGCAAAAGTTAAGTAATAAGGAGAAACACTAGGGTTTTTCTGAGAAAATTCAGAATTCCTTACAGGATTAGCCCCAAGTAACTCCATCTGTTGCAACAGAGTATAGGCACTGGCAGTTTGGGTCACCGTGCTTTCCCATTTTTTCCTCAATTCTGAACCAGAACAGCCATGTCTGGCCCCTGAGAAAAACATGTCAGTCACTGATGAACATCCCCTCTTGAAGGGAAGTCTGCAGATCACTGGATTTCTGCCACAGCTCAAATCTCTTGCACTAACTCATCACATAGCATCTCGCTGGGAAGAAACTCTGCACTCTGCTCACCTCAACCCCCTCGACAGAGGCAGAAGGTCAGATACCTACCCCTCAGCCATACAAGTCCATTAAACCAACACACCTTTGCACCAAAAACGTCTGCGTTACAATCCTGAGTTCACACACAGGGCAGTTACCCCCTTTTTACTAAAAAGAATCAATTGAAACTTGTAAATGGGGACAACTTGCATGCTCTTTCATGAGCCAGTTAGGGTGTAGAATTTTGTATTTTACCATACGTACAACACTAGATTATACAACAAAGCTTTGCTGATACTTTTCTGCAGCATGAAAGTAAATTTGCAGTTAACAAAAGATTGGAATATGCGAAAGACTGGTAGAACTATGAATTTTTAAGACTATGAAGAGTGCAGAGTTCAGCTTCCAGTCATGAAACTGGCCAGTGAACATCAGTCATGAAAACTCGTGCACTTAATGCTTTCTCCAATTTGCTACAAGGGCAAACTAAATGAAGAGCTATTGATGAAACAGAGATCAGAATTAAGAATAACAGAGAGAAACACAAGTAGAAAGGCACATAACCTTCTCTTCTAAAGGCATGACAAGAATTCCCCCAACTTTCAACAGGTTCTTCATGTAGTCTTCGTGTTCCTTCTGTACTCCAGCACCACAGTAAACACGGTCATACTGAGTACAGTCCGGAGAAATCTCCAAGCAATTGCCAGTAACAAAAGATGGCTCGCAAAATTCAAATCTGAAAGTGAAGATGACGTGTATCATATAAGAATATTACAATTTATCAAAAGAATTATTTTCTTGACACCGAAAAAAATGAAACAATGAAAAATACTTGAAAAAAAGTTTCACATGATTTCTCCTTTGAAGCCCATATATTCTAGACATTATCAGAACAGACCACAGCTAGAAGTCTCAAGAGCACAGAGCAATGACGTGAGAATTCATAGATTAAAATCTCCAAAGGATAAGGATGCATAATTTCATCCTTGAGTTGCATATAACTCTTCAGAACAAGCTATTTTTAGTCACCTGATGCTGACTCAGTTTTAATACACAAATATAAATATTAGACCTGCAATTCCAGATGTTAAAGTCTTTTAAGGACTGCACCTGGGTTTGGTTTTTTTTTGGCAATTTCAAAAGCTTTTAAATGGTTTCAAGATGTTGTGGGGAACTATAACCTGATGCTTCAGAAATACACTTTGCCGAAGCCAATGGAAGTTTTGCCATTAGCTTCAAGAGAACTGTGATTTCACCCTTCATAAAAAGAATTTTTGCCTATAGCATTTCTGATTCAGTTTAGAAGAAAAATGAATGATTCTATGATGCACATAAGCTTTAGGCCCCACATTTAAGGGCTGATTTTGATAGAATTTGTACAACATATCCATTCTTCTACTGGTATCTTGAGAGGCAGCTCAATATAGCACCTATTTATTCCTAAACACTTCCTGAAGCTTTCTGCTTTTGCAGAGCATGCTAGACATTCAGAGCAGCCAGCTAACAGTTCCTGCACACAGTGTTCTAACAGCACAACCCAGCAGCCATTTCTCTCAGCAGTGCCAATTTTCCAGTCCTGTTGATTTCTGAATTCAGCTCACTTTTGCTCCATAGCTATGTTTGGAGAGGGGGGTGGGGAAAAGTCTTCCTTAAAGCACCTATTCAAACAACAGCAATGTGACTGAAAAAAAAAAAAAAAAAGGCATCTATGTGCAAGCATCTTCCACACTGAAAACTTTTGTCTGCTGCCAACATCAAGAAACTCATCAGCAGCAACAGCACAAGGCTGAGTAGTTTAAATTCTAGCATATAATGACTTTAATTTTCTTCCTCCCACGAGAAGAGGACTATCAAGTATCCAAAGATGCTTTACTTCCTTGTTTGAACAAACTGAGTTGGATCCAAAAGAAGAGGACTATCAAGTATCCAAAGTATCTAAAGTATCCAAAGATCCAAACTTCCTTGTTTGAACAAACTGAGTTGGATCCAAAGACAACAGCTACAACTTTTATTGCTGAGGTTACCATTGGCAATGGTTATCTTGCTGAGATATTATCACTTGTGACAGCAGCAGAACGAAGGTTCTAAGGAAGAACATAAATCAAAGCCCAAGCAGTTTTAGTACAACCTTAATCACAACAAAACTACCTTCATATTTTAAAACACCATTTTTCTTCTTCTCGGATAAAACATATTAGGCCACCATGGAAATCAGTTTGTATTCTTCTGATAACTATGCCTGCTCCCAGATCACAAACATAACTGTTGTTGTTATTTGCAAGTTTCAAGTTGTAACCTGCAAGCGCATTTTAAAATCCTTCAGCCTCCTCTAAGCTCTGCAACAGCAGCACTGCTGTTAAAAACACTGCAAAAATTTCTGAAACTCCCCCACAACGCACACCAGCTTAGAAGGTCACACACTGCAGCTCAGCAAGCCTAAGGAGGCAGAATCCTCAGATTACACTGAACCCAGAGCTGCCACATGGGAGCAAGAACTGCCATGACTAAAGCCAACTGCACAAAACAAATCCAAGCAGGCATTCTGCCTTCTTACTTGTCAAAGCTGTCACTTGTTTTAATAAAGAAGTCCAATTTCTGCTTCGCATATTCGATCACATCAGAATGAAGCTCCACACCATGGTTAACACCAAAAGGACCTGCAAATTTAGAACATTAGGATATCAGTAATAGGCAACAACACAAAATCCAGCAGGATAAAATATAGTTTTGGTTACTTCTTGTAACAGATTGCTCCTTGAGCGTCAGACAGCCAGCACTTGCGTAGGGTCAGCTATCTTAGTACTACAGTGGGAATTGCAACCCTATACCTGCAACTTCTGGCAGCAAGCAAGGCTGGTTTGCACAATTGATTTTGAATCATTGGCTCTTAACTATGCAGGAAGTTCCTCTGTAGGATGGAAACACTGACACTTTGGAAATACTATTGCCGTAAAACTGACCAGCTTGAAAATCCAGCGCAGGACAATAGCCTGCATGTTTTAATAAATCCCTCAAAAAATCTTTATGTTGTTTTTATACCCCCTTGCTGATATGCTAAAAATCTCCTCAAAAGAATCAGGAACAGTCACCACACGTAGCCCCTCAATTAAGAGCAAAAATAAATTGGAAAATAGATGAGTTCTTCAGCACTCACACTTTTTATTCAGAACTGACTTGGTAACTTTCCCAAAAATTCAAAAATAATTCAAAAGCCCTGGAGTTACATATTGGCATCCTAGGTAATATCAACCAACCAGGCAGAAAACCACAAATGTGATTCCATGTAAAGCCATAGGAGACGGGTGCAAGGCTCCATCCTGACAACAAGAATTTCAGTAGTTAAAATTCTTGACATGCCCACAAAATGAAAATACATTCCCCTATAGTCATTTGCTATCTCTTCTGGCAGCCGGCAGAAGCACAGTTGTTGACTGAAATACTTTAGGGCAAATTACAATCACATAATTGCACTTTGATGCTTTGATTCATGCCTACTGTAGATGTGGTCACGAAGTCAGTTCTGATGCACCACCTGCTTTCCATAGACTATTCCCACCTGTACACCGGTAAGAGTCCAATCTGGATCTCAAACATGTTTCAGTCTAGACAGGACAGTGTGAAAACAAACAAGGCACAGAGCAGCAACAGTCACAGGTTTCTGCAGACATGCTCAATCCTAGTTTAAACATGGCACTCCCGCTCCCGAGCTAGTTTAAGGGGCAACAAACCCAAG